CTCTTCCTCCTCCTGCTCCTTTTCCTCTTCCTCCTCCTGCTCCTCTTTTCCCTCTTCCTCCTCTTCTTCTCCTCCTCCTCTTCCCCCTCCTCTTTCTCCTCCTCCCCTTCTTCTTCCTTCTCCTCTTCTCCCTCTTCCTCCTGCTCCTCCTCCTCCTCCTGCTCCTCTTCTCCCTCTTCCTCCTCTTCCCCCTCCTCCACTTTCTCCTCCTCCCCTTCCTCCTCCTTCTCTTCTCCCTCTTCCTCATCTTTCTCCTCCTGCTCCTCTTCCTCTTCCTCCTCCTCCTTTTCCTCTTCCTCCTCCTGCTCCTCTTCTCCCTCTTCCTCCTCCTTCTCCTCTTCCCCCCTCCTCTTTCTCCTCCTCCTGCTCCTCTTCTCCCTCTTCCTCTTCCTCCTCCTTGTCCTCTTCTCCCCTCCTCTTTCTCCTTCTCCTCCTCCTCTTCTCCCTCTTCCTCCTTTTCCTGCTCCTGCTCCTCTTCCTCCTCCTCCTTTTACTCTTCCTCCTCCTCCTCTTCCTCCTCCTCCTCCTCTCAGGTTAAAGCACACCTGGTGCATCACCTCAGAGGCATTTTGGCAAGGTGGCTGAAAACTTTGGGGGGGGGGCAGGTAAGGCAGGAAGAAAGAACCAAGTTTCTTTGCAACTTGTTTTCCCTCCATTAAAATCATCGCAGCGGTTGTGTTCTCGAGAGAAGCTTTGCGCAAAGAAGCAAAGCCACAAGCTTTGGCCTCCCCTTGCACGAATCCTCCTGCGAAGCCAAGCCGGCGGGGAACGGAGAAAACCGGGCTTCCTTGTCAAACCCTAAGTAAGCAAGGCCGGGTAAATAACAATCCGCGGCGGTACGCGCAGGGGTCCCCAAACTTGGCCAGCTATGCTGGCTGGAGAATTCTGGGAGTTGAAGTCCATAAGTCTTAAAGTTGCCAAGTTTGGAGACTTTTGCGCTACGGGATTTCCAGTAGCGGGAGGATCGCGTTGTAAAGATTGGAAACGGGCCGCTAACGGATTAAAAGGATAATAAACGCCTTTCGGCTGGTGGGATCTTTCGTCCCACAATTGCTGCTTTTACAAACCTCCCTTCAACGTTGACTCCCTTTTCTTGCCAATGTCCTCCCCAAAATACGCATTGCTATTTTTTTTAAAAAAGCAAACAATCCCAAAACAAAACCTGCATCTCCACCGGCGGACTTGTGGCGGGGAAGAACAAACAAAACCGCTTATGGACAGAAGAAAAACGTCCTTATAAACATCCCTCTGGAAGCCGATAAGAGGGAGAGGGCTATTTAAGCCACCACATTTAATTCTTTCTCTTTCTTTCTCCCCCCCCCCCCCTTCCCCCGCCCCCCCCCCCCCCCCTCTCTCTCACACACACCCGTCCCGAAGAATTTTCACGCGGCCTTTTCCACCGCCACCCTTGCCCCATCTTGGAAATCCTTCCGGACTCCGAAGTAAAACTTTGGGTTTCTGTCTTGAAGCCCTGCCGGCTCGTAGAACCAGCCCCGTCGGCTCCGCTGACAGCTCGGTCCGGTTCTCTTTCTCTCCTGGATAGGCCCGTCCGGAGCTGCCCCTTCCAGCGATCCAGAGCGGGGAGCGGGGGAAATGGAAGAGCCGGGGCGAGCCGCACAACGGCGGCGGAGGCCGACAGAGGAGCCGACGCGAAGGCCGGCTTGGCCACGGCCGGAGGCGAGGCTCGCAATGTAGAGACGAGAAGCGCAGCGATGCGCTCCGCTCACAGCTGCGCTCTTTCTCTCGCCCGCTTTCCTTCTTGGCCAGCGGTTGCCGTTGCCAAACTCGGCAAAGCGCGCTTTAGCGAAACTTTTAGGAAGCAGAGAAAGTGGGAGGAAAGGGGATTTAAAAGGAAAATCCGGCCTCGCAGTGACGCGAGTTCACGGGAAGCCAGCGACCTCGCCAAAATAATATCGCCTCGCCTTTGCCGCCCCACTTCTCCGGCATCCCAAGCTCCCCTTTTCCCCTCCCGTCCCTGGCTCGCCCTCGCCGCCGCCTCTTACCTTGATAGTCCCGTCCATCGAGCTCGATCTCCAGCCGGGGGTCCCCAAGGTCCCCACATTGACCCGGTTTCCTCGTGGCACCCCTCCTCAAAGACGCCCCTTCCCAAAGTCCCAAACTCGGATCCTCGCTCCCGCGACGCGTCTTAGGCTGGCCTTGCTCGCGGCGCGCTCCCGACGTCGACTCACCCCCCCAATTTCCCTTCCCTTCTCTTCCTTTCCCCGAGGCGCGTCCCCGTCCTTCCTCGGGGGTGGTGGGGGTGGGGGTTTCTCCCGCGCTCCGCTCCAAAACGCGCGTCCGGCCCGCTGAGCTCTCCGACTCCCTCTCGCGCTTGGCGCAAAGCGAAAGGGCGACAGTAACCGGATGAAACTGTTTTTCCCCACCCCCTGCCAATTTTGGGAAGTGAAGTCACTCGATGGGGAGGAAAACTCGGTCCGCCCGCTGCGCCCGCCCGCCCGCCCGCCTGCGCGATCCAGAGAAAGCTGGATGCGCCCAATAACCGAGCCTGGCGGGGTCTTTTTGCTCTCCCGAGAGAGAAGCCGACTGGCAGGATCGCTCTGGAGGCTACTTTCCTGCTCCGTCGGGTGTCATATATCCATCCATCCATCCATCCACCCATCCACATACATATACATATATAGGGAGGGAGGGAGGGAGAGGGAGAGGGAGGGAGGGAAAGAGGAAGAGAGGGAGGGAGGGAGGGAAAGAGGGGGAAAGAGAGAGGGAGGGAGGGAAAGAGGGAGAGGGAGGGAGGGAAAGAGAGGGAGGGAAAGAGAGGGAGAGAGGGAGGAAGGAAGGGAGGGAGAGAGGGACGGAGAGGGAGGAAGAGGGAGGGAGGGAGGGAGGGAGGGAGAGGGGGTGTCTGATGGGGGGAGGGAAGAGCTGAACAAACCCAGAGCTGGTCACTCCGCACCGGTGTCCCGCAGCCTACTTTTAATCGCCTTGTCGCCGAAATGCGTCCCATCTTCTTCGTTATAGGACCTGCTCACCGACCACAGTTCTTAGAAGGCGGCCAGCTAGAGCCCTTACAATTCCGTTTTGGTTCCCCCCACGTGGGTGGGTAGGTAGGTAGGGTTCTTTCTTTCATCCTTTTGGGGGGAGGGCTCCGCTTTTTGCCCGGAGTTAACGGCAACTTTGGAAGAGCGGGTAACTTAGGTGTATTGCCCGGTTTCGGGGACCGGAAAAACGGTCGGCGCGTAAAACTCTTAGCATCTCCCCGCGGCCAGTGAATAGCCTGAAGTTGTAAAAGGAGGATCGGGCTTAACTATGTTGGGTTGGTTTTCCCCTTCGCCCTCCCGCAGCCCACCCCTCATTGGTATTTATGTGTGCTATGGTGGGGGTGCCTCTAAAGGACCCCTGAATGTATTTAAGTAGGACTTCCTTCCTTCCTTCCTTCCTTCCTTCCTGTCACTCTTGACTCACTTCTTTCTAGGGCTGAGAGACCCCAAGATCGCCGTTTGGCTCCCAGCCTAAGGCAGAACTAGAATTCACAGGCTCCTAGCTTCTCTTCTACTCTTTTAAGTACTATTCCAGCTGCCTCTCTATTTAAAGCAATGGCTTGCTTTTTTAAAAAAAAAATTCAAAGAAAAAGTTTGATTTTATAAAGTTCCCTGTAGATTATCCTGGTTTTGGTCACGTGACCTACGTGTGTGCAATTTTGTATGCCGTAGATTTGGGAGCAAGTCTTATTAAATTCAGTCAGACCTTCCTTCCTTCCTTCCTTCCTCCCTCCCTTCCTTCCTTCCTTCCTTCCTTCCTTCCTTCCTTCCTTCCTTCCTTCCTTCCTTTCTTCCTTCCTGATTGACTGACTGACTGACAGACAATAAAAATTAATTCTAGGGCAGATTTTTTTTTTTTTTTTTAGTGCTTGGAGTTGCTGGTAGGAGTGAAGCGTCCCCTTCATTTCTGCAACTGATTTTTTTTATAGCTTTACCTACACCTTACTTAGAGGTGACGACTTCAGACACGTTTCTGCTTTCAACAGCTCTTATTTTGGCGTATCCGCTGTTCGGTCGAGCTGGGAAGCCCCGGTGCTACGGGAGTCAAAGGGTTGCGCAGTGCCATCCAAAAGCCTGCTTCCCGGGAAGTCCCATAAATGGGTTTCTGCTCCGTGGATCTTACTCTGGAGTTTACACGGGTTTTCCCGTCCGGTTCCCTGACTCTGGCCCCCGAGGCCGTTTTAATGCAAACTCATATAAAGATTTTAAAAAACAGTTGGTTGTTTCGATTCTTATCAACGCCACTTTCCTGGAATTTGGAAGGATTCGTGAAGACGAAATAAACATCAGATCGCTGACTCTTTAGAGCTAAAAAGCGAGGAACGGAGCAGATTTCCCTTTTCTAGAGCTCTTGAATTCAGCACCTCCGTTTAGCTGGGAGGACGGCGGGGCGGGGGGGGGGGGGGGGGGGGGGGGGGGCAAAAAACCGGGGCAGAAGGAAAAGGGGATTCAACCCTCGCGAAGTTCCCGTCCACTTTCTGGACCGTTTACTCAAAAGTAAGAGCCATGCATAGCAGACTAAGTTGAGGGGCCGCGCTCTGCTTCGGCTGCCATAAAGACGAGGCGACAACTCTCCCCCCCCCGGCCCGCCACTTTAATTCACGTCTAGCCTCTCCCAAAGAAACCGAAGCGACAAAGCCCGGTGGCTTTCCCCGAGGTTTGCGCAAATACTCTAGCTCAGATTCGCCGGCAAAACCACCCCTCTCTCACACCGAAGAGAGAGGAGTTTATGGTTATAATTATTAAGATTGGTAGGGTCGCCTTCCTCCTCCTCCTCCTCCTCCTCCTCCTCCCTTCCTCTTCTCCCGCCTCCTCTTCTTCCCCCCCTCTTCCTCCTCCTCCTCCTCCTCCTCCTCCTCCCCCTTCCTCTTCTTCCTCCTCTTCTTCTCCTCCTTCCTCCTCTTCTTCTCCTCTTTCTGCCTCTGCCTCTTCTTCTTCCTCTCCTTCTACTCCTCCTCTTCTTCTCTTTCTTCTTCTGCCTCTGCCTCTTCTCCCCCCCCTCCTCCCCCTTCCTCTTCTTCCTCCTCTTCCTCTTCTCCCCCCTCCTCCTCCCCCTCCCCCTCCTCCTCCTCCTCCTCTTCCTCCTCCATCGTCTTAGAGGGGAGAAAACCTAAATGAATTTCCCAAACTCTTCCAACGCGTCCGTTTCCTTCACTCCGCGCCCTGAAACAAGCCGGCAACTCTCGCGCTTTGAAGGGGCGGGGGGCGTCCCACAAAACCGTAAAATTAGAAAATTAAAAATACAAAAGGACGTCCCACATTCCTTTAAAAAAAAACATTTGGGGAGCGTGTTAGGCTTTCTTTACTTCTTCCCCTCCAAACCTCCCCTACTTCTCTCTCCCCCGCCCCCCCACCCCAGACGTTACCTTCTGCGGCGTCCAGTCTCTCCCCGCCCCCCCACCTTTTTACTCAGGATTTTTAATCCAAGCAGGCAGCGAGAGGCGGGGGCTACCTGCGGGGACCCCGAGAGACAACCCCCCCCTCACACACACACACACACACACAGTTCCCTTTCGCTCCCCGCCTCCAAAATAGATGCGCGGCGGCATCCCATCCGTTGAGCCGAGATGAGGGAAATGCCGGCTTAGGTCGGCGTTTGCTCTCCTCCCCGGGGGGTGGGGGGAGGTTAGGATGGAGGAACCTGTCCCCCCCCATACACACACACCTACCCATCTACCCCCCCACCTCTCTCCTCGGCCCCTTCCTCTTCCCAATTAGCCCCCCTCCTCCCTCCATTCAACCCCACTCCTCCTTTTCATCGTTCAGAGACGTAGCGCAACCTGGACGTGACCTGGGCCGAGATTCCTGCTCGTCAGCCCATTCAGCCCACCATTCAGCCGGGTAGGAGGGGAGGGACAAGCCTCTCCCCAATCCTCACCCTCACCGCCTCCCTTTCCTTCGGCTTTCCCTCCCGGACCCCCTCCCCAAATCCTGTCTACTTTTACAATCCAGGCGTGGGTCTGCAGCAGAGTCCCCAGAGAGAGCCGCACACATCTGGATGCTGTAGCGGGGTCAGGTCCCTTCTGCCTGGGGCCGCTGGCACTGGCATTCAATTAAAAGACGTCGCGCTTAACTCTTCGGTTGCCGTCGCCGCCTCCCTGGTTTTGGGCTTCTACGGGCCTGTTTCTTCACCCCCCCCCTCCGCCTCCCAAACCCGGAGCCTTTGCTTTGAGCTCCCTCCCCTCCCCCCCACATCCCGAAAGTGAATAGATATAGGTACAGGCAATCCTCAGCTTACGACCAAAACGGAGCCCCAAATGTATGTGGCAGAGGGGAAACATTTGTTAAGCGAAAGACAAAAGGAAGAGAAGGACCAGGGGAGACAGGAGAGCAGTCTTCCAATATCTGAGGGGTTGCCACAGAGAGGAGGAAGGGGTCAAGCTGATTTCCAAAGCACCTTTGAAGACCAGACAAGGAATAATGGATGGAAATTAAACAAGGAGACGTTCAACCTGGAAATGAGACATTTTCCGACAGAGCAATCAACCGATGGAACAGATGCTGCCTTCGGAAGTTGTAGGAACTTCCATCACTGGAAGCTTTCAAGAAGAGACTGGACTGCCATCTGTCAGGAATGTTGTAGGGTCTCCTGCTTGGGCGGGGGGGTTGGACTGGATGACCTACAAAGTCCCTTCCAACTCTGTTAATGTAATCTAATCTAATAATTCCAGTTAAATGTTAATAATGTTGAATAATAATATGAAATTGCCTTCGGAAGTTGTGGGAGCATCATCACTGGAGGCTTTCAAGAAGAGACTGGACTGCCCTCTGTCAGGAATGGTGTAGGGTCTCCTGCTTGGGCAGGGGGTTGGACTAGATGACCTACAGGGTCCCTTCCAACTCTGTTCATCTGTATCTCTGTAGTGTCTGCAGTCTTCAAAAGAAAAAGAGAAACCAAGGAAGTCCAGTTGCCTCCTGAAAAAGGACCTGGGGGATTTGTTAAGGGGGAGTCTTGCCCCGTTTTTACCGCTTTCCTTTGCCCCTGTTGTTTAGTGAATCTGGCTGCTTCCTCACTGACTTTCGCTTGTTGGAAGGTGGCAAAAGAGGGTCATGTGATTCCCCCCCCCCCCCCGCAACACTGCAACCATCTTAAATATGAACCGGTTTATCAAGCAACTCAATTTAGATCGTGTGACCACAAGAATGGCAGCACCAGTTGTAAGTGTGAAAAAACGGTCATAAGTCACTTTTTTTTCCACTGTGTTGTATAACTTTGACTGGTCGCTAAAGGAACTGTTGTAAGTCAAGACTACCCCTATTTGGAGGGGAGAGAAGAAACAGTGAAGAAGAAACACATCAAGAGTTTTCTAAATCCCCTCTCCCTCTGCAGATGGTCCA